TTATTTTTTAATTTAAGGCAGCATTTCACTAAGTTGCCCTGGCTGTTGCGAACTTGTGAACTTGCAATCCTTCTGCCTCAGCCTCCCAAGTAGCTGGATGGGTCCCTTCTCACACATGAGTTTTTCCAGTGCTTTTCTTAGCTTATGCATGTGGAGCAGCTGGGTCCCCACCCAGGACAGGGCCTGGCACACAACTAGCACTCAGTGAAGGACTCTGTTTATTTTGTTTTTGGTGTTTTTTGTTTTGGGGTTTTTTTTTGAGACAGGGTCTCACTATGTAGCCCAGGCTGTCCTCAAACACCGGGGATCCTCCTGCCTCAGCCTCCCAACTGTTGGTATGACAGATGAGCACCGCCACGCCCAGCCAGGGTGTAGAAACTTATGAGTGACCGATGTCTGCCAGACACTGACCCCGGAGTTACAAGTGTGAACCCTAAACTTCCCCATTCACGGAGCCCCCAGTGGCCCCAGCTAACCCTATAAAACCCGATCGCTGAGGCTTGAACGCGTTTGGGGCTCCACACACAAAGCGAGAAAGCAGGAACCCCCTTCATCACGTGCTCCCACCCTGCTGTCAACCAAACACAAGAGGAGGGGTGTAGGCCCCGGGCACGTGCACACGGGGAAACTGAGGCAGGCCCTCACCTCCGCAGGGCAGGCAGCTGGTGTGGGCAGCCTGCAACCCTCAGCCAGCAGCTCCAGCAGGCGGCACAGGGCGGGGGCGTCCCGCTCACAGCCCATCATGCGCAGGAACTCCTGAGCGTACAGCGTGGGGACAGTGTGAGGGACAGTGGGGACAGGGCGGGGACAGTGGCTCGCTGGGGGCCGGGCCGCAAGGGTCTCGACTTACGGCCGAGGGGCTGCAGCCCGGGTCCCCGAAGGTGAACAGCTCATACAGCACCACGCCAAAACTCCACATGTCCGACTGCCGCGAGAAGACGTTGTCTGCCAGGGACTCGGGCGCGAACCTGAGGCCAGAGATGGAAGAGTCACCAACCCGGCCTCAGTTTCCCGCCGGGCATAGCCCGGGCTGCGGGAGGAGAGGGGCCAACACGTGGGGGAGTGGGCGGGGCCGGCGGGGAGGCGGGGCAGGGAAGGGGAGAG